AACTAGTGATATTGAGCATCTTTTCATGTGCCTATTGATCATTTGTATGTCTTCCTTGGAGAATTGCTTGTTTAGGTCTTCTGCCCATTTTTGGATTGGGTTGTTTATTTTTTTCTTATTGAGTCATATGAGCTGCTTATATATTCTGGAGATCGAGCCTTTGTCGGCTTCATTTGCAAAAATTTTCTCCCATTCTGTAGGTTGTCGTTTTGTTTTACCTATGGTTTCGTTTGCTTTCAAGTTTAATTAGGTCCCATTTGTTTATTCTTGCTTTTAAATAAACACAATCTAAATGCATGTTCTCTTTCAAAGAAAACGCCAAGGGAAACCAACATGCTAACAACAAACATGTTACCATTTCTGATACATTTTGCGTGTGTTTCTGAACTACTTTTACTAGCTATAAAAATAAATAAATAAACCTCACTATTTAATAACCCACACTACTTTTTGGACCACCTTAGTCCCCATATATGGCTTTTTGATTATTTATAAAAGTCAGGTCTATCCAAACAATAAAAGTTGCCTACATTAATATTTTGGGCTGTTAGGTCAGATTATAGACTGAGTCCAGTCCTAGCTACATGGATGTTAATGTGCTACCTTCTCCAGGTAATTCCAAAGGATTGTAAAAATACCTTAAGTAATAGCAGTATCATTGTGTTTGTGTGTGTGTGTGTATGGTAACTACTTTGAAGGAAACAGATAATTTGGATAAAGCCTGGTATGTCTATTTATGTTAAATGAAGTTAAACTGCTTTATATTGTATGTAGGGTGTTTCTTATGTTATTTTTGGTTTGAAATTAACAATTATATAAGTTTTTTTCAAGATTATCTAATTGCTTTTTATCTGATATATTTCATAACTATATTATGAGCCTAAAATATTGAGGTAGAATAATCGAATCTTTCTTTTTGTTCCCTTTTTTAGACTACAACCAAATCACAATTAAATCCAGCATTTGAAGATGCCTGGAGCAGCAGTGATGAGGAAGGATAAATATCAATTCTTAGTGCCTTTTTGTCTCTATTGATGAAACTTTTTTAAAACAGGACTGTTTTGTTTTATTTTTTCAATTGTCCAGTGACAGCTAAATTAGCCCTGAATCTGTATGACTTTCCATTTATTTTAAAATGAGGTTAGTAATTTCATGAAATCCTGTAACAGAGTTCTATGTACTTTACTTAATCAGAACATGTCTCCTTGATCCAGATGCTGTGGCCTGCTGCAGCCCCTACAGCTGCAGTACAAGGGGACAGATCATGGCACCTCCTCTGTGGGAACTTGAACAGTTTGTGTGACCGTAAGATGCAGTCTCAGAGAATGAGCAAGTATCGTGATCAGTGCTGACTTTCTCCTGCTACTGCACCATCACCTTCCTCATTTTCACTTTCAAGAATGATTTTACTGAGGATCATATCAAAAATTATAGTTGAAAAGTTAGCACCAACTTTTTTAATTCTTTCTTATTTGTGTATTAGTTTTTGCAATGATTTCATTTATTTGACCATTGTCTAGCTTTGTGTTAAGTTTTTTTGAATTTGGTGCCTTCCACAATCTGAAAAGGAAGAGGTTTTTAACTTGGGGAAAATTCCATGTTTCCTTTATTTTACTGTCAGCAGCTTGAACTGCTTTTCTATGAATCTGGTTAAGATGTGACTAAGTCCTCCTTCATTCATCAAAGCAGAAGATATCCTGGCAGGAGATCTGTCTTAAACATGAAATGTCACAAAAATTTCTATTGTATTGTTTCCTCTTCTCATGTCATAACTAATGAGTGATTATCATGAAGCTAACCTTATATTCCCTTTCTTTCTGATTCTTATCAGTAGGAGAGTAGTTAAAGAGGTTTTTGTGAGCTTGAATACCAAGTATACAGTAGTAGAGTTTTTAAGTGTAAGTGTTAGGCCTCATATCAGACCTTTCTGGCCAAATGGTTTCTTTTCCATACATTTACTTTTTAGTTAATTTTCTTAAGCCCTGACCATTTTACTTTCACTTTTTCTCCCCTCGGTGAGGATGTTTATGACCTTTGAAAATGCTATTGAAATTGAGAATTTTTTTTTGTTTTAAGAAAGAAGAAGTCTTTTTCCAAGCTGTAAATAACTATTACTTCTTTATAGTTATATAAATATACATGCTTATTGTAAATAATTTAAGCCATAAACCTTCCAAGACGTAAAGATGACTTGAAATC